GCTGTTCACGAAGAAGATTCATGGCCTCAGGGACGCTTTTGCAAAACAACAGACCTTTTTTCAAAATGATTTGTTATGGGTGTTGAATTTTCCCTCCATTTTCAAACCTGCCTCCCACCAACAAGGAGGACTTGTTAAATATTGTTAGTGCTAATTATTTCCTGAAACCACTGACATGAGCAATACCACTGCCCTGCACCAATTTCAAGTTCTAAATGTGTAACTGTAATGTAGCCAACGACAAACAAATTATATGCCACTTGGTTTGAAGACTTGCATATGCAATTACGATTGAAGTGAAGACGTTTTGCAATAATGCATTGTGCCCTGTAATAGAATCACAAAAGAGCTAAAAATTCTTGCATAGGCAAAGCCTACACAGGTGCAGCTGATAGAAACTTACGTTTTGCTTTTAGGCCTCTTTAGGGCCAATCTTTAACCAATGGCAAACTGTTCGTGACTTTGCTGAATATGGATGGCGAGTGACAGATGGTGTAGTACGGACAGTGACGCGAAAACGACACTTATACTTGAAGCATCGAAGGCCCGTTACGAGCTGGTTAAATGCAGTTGCACGGGGAATTGTTACTCTAGATGCAAATGCAAGCGTTATGGACAGGTGGCCACAGAACAGTTTCAATGTATTGGAAAATATGTTGACCTGGAAAAGTAAATAGTCAGTTCAAACATCATCAAGTTTGGCATTTGGGACCAAGTACCCACTTATAAAAAATGAATCTAGGGCAATTTCGGTTCTAATTCCGTTCTTAGGCAGCAAAATACATACGAATGTTTATATTTTATGCGCTTGTTAATGGAACTTCTATAGGTTGCATTTGATTATCAAATGAAAATGGGGAAATTTGATGGTCTTAACTAGACTTTGCAACATTCTTCATGTATTAGATCGTAATTCGTACAGTATACAATTACCAATTGCGGGAAACACAGGCTACATCGCTAGCAAATCGCATTTTTATTTTGAGGACTGAAGCCAAGTTAATTGTTTTGAAAAAGATAATGATAATGGGGTACTTCAGGGACCTTATTTTCTTGCCGTGACATTGCACACCTTAGATCGGAAATGAATACCAAACTTTGCGGAAATTTACTTCTTACATCACTCACAAGCGAAATTTATATTTTGAGGACTGGAATCAAGTTGATTGTTCTAAAAATAGAGAATTCGACTTTTTATGGATCTTATTTGCATGGCATGGCATTTCAAACTTCAGATGTATATGTATATCAAAGTTTGCAGACATAAGTTCATTGAGTTGCTCGCGAGTGACTTTTTCATTTTGAGGACTGGGACCAAGTTCAATGTTCTAAAAATAGAAAATGGAGTAAGTCATGGACCTTCTTTTCTAGGCATGACGTTTTAAGCTTCAGATTTTCATATGTAACCTTTGAAGTTTTCATGCTGGTATCATGTTTTGCACGATTGTTGTGTCTTCAGACCGGCCCCCGTTTCATGGCTTTGTCATCACGAATTTAAATTAGCCAAAAGAGAGTTTTCTATGACTTCTAGAACTTTCGATTGACTTTAAGACTTTTAAGACCAACATTTCTATAAAATTCTTGCTTGGCTTCTCGCAGCAGTTGGAAACCCTTTTTACTTCGTGGACCTCAACAAAAACGAGGCTGTGATAGTTAACGATAACGTGAAAACTGTTAAACAATGTACTGTCTTTGCAAGTACAACAAAAATTAACAAAAATATTAAAATTATGATTATGAGAATATCAAAGTTAAATTTAAGTAGAATATAAAAAATCAGCCTTTTGAATGTGACTTTGTGAGTGAAATTATGGGCTTTGAGCAACCATCCCCTTATGAATTTTCAAGATGACTGCGTCTTTTTGCAGAACACGTTTTGAAAGGCAATAAAATTGCAGGATCTTACCACTTGTTTAAGCAATGGCAAATCGAAAAAGCGACTCGATCGAGCTGAGTTCCATATTTGGCTACATCTGTATGATACGGTATTAAATCCATATATTTTGTAATGTTGCTCCGTTGTTTTGAATTGAGAGTTTCTTAAGTAATTTGGGCATTCATTTATGGAAAATATTTCATCCATAAAAGGTGGATTCAACCCGTTGAATGTTTTGTAAATTTCTATCGCAAGATATTGTAATCTTTTCTTATGAGAAGTTATTGTTTTATTCTTTATTTAAAGTTGTTGAAAAGTTGATTCATAATCACCATGAGCTATTCTCATTGCTCTTTCATGAATCCGGTTTATCCGGTTATTACTTTTCCTACTGCAAAACATCCAAATAAGAGGACAATAATTAAAATATGATATTATTAAAGTTTTCATTAAAAGAATTCGCTTAGATTTGTCCATATACGAAGCAATCTTGGCTGAAGCGTTTACCTTTTTCCCGGCTTCTTTCTAAAAAACTTCAATATGTTCTTCTAATCTAAGTTGATGGTCTAGTGTTACTCCCAAAAATTTAACATTCTTACTTTCTATTATAGTAGAACCATTTATTTGAATTTTAGATTCCTCTTAATTGGATCGATTGGCTTTAAATGTTATAAACTTGCTTTTATCGCCATTGAGCACCATACAATTTTCATAAAACCATTTATTAAGAATAGCGGCTTCCGATTCTAAGTCGTCAGTTAGTTCATTCATATCAGTACTTGACAGCCAAATTGTATTATCATCTGCATAGTTGCATAAATTGCTTTTGTTCAAATGCAGAAAAATACCATTTATGTAAATATTGAAAAGCAACGGGCCTAAGACTGATCCTTCAGGAACTCCTTGCTTTCTTTCCACCCAATCACTAAAATTTGGGTATTTTTACTCATTGTACTCTTTTATCTAGATAATTATACATAAATTCCATTGCGTTGTCGCTAAAGCCATAAGATTTCAATTTGGCTAGTAGAAGTATATGGGGTAAACAATCAAATGCTTTTGATAAATCCATAAGCACTGCACCAGCCACATCTTTTTCATCCAGGCACTTTTTCAGACCTTCAATAAGTCGTAATAAAGCGTGTCGCGTGCTATAACCTTTTCTGAATTCACAAAGCAAAGGGGACAGTTTAACAATGTTGTAATTGTAGATTTGATTGAACATTATTCTCTCAAATACCTTTGAAGCTGAGGGGAGCACATTTATTGGTCTACAATTCTCTTTAATAGTTGAATCTCCTTTTTTGAAAATAGGGCACACATTAGCCATTTTCATAAAAAAGGAAACGTTTTATCAGAAATAGATCGATTGAATATTTCAGCTAGTGATTCATAGAAAACGTCTATTGCCATTCTAAGAACTTTTTTTGGGGGGGGGGATGTTATCGGCTCCTGTTGATTTGTCTTCCTTTAGGTTGTAAATTATCTCTCTTACCTCCTTGGAAGTTACATTTTCAAAGTTAAACTTAGGAAATTGATCAAACGTTTTTCTTGATAATTTAAATACTACGGTGGTTTTCAAAGCATTTCAATTGATCTAATAGTGACGAGGCTGTCCTTTCGTCAGACGTCTGTTGCACATTATCAGATAAAGGTCGGGCTATATTGAGGCTTTTAGTAATATTTACAAAGTGATTGTTCAACGTTTGTGCTACTATTTTGCTGTCAGACAGGATTTTATCGTTCTCTATCAGTATGATTTTATTTGCTTTTGCACTTTATCGTTTAAGAAAGGCTGGATAGTTTTCCAGAATTTTTTATTATCCTTGACGAGTTTTACATCTAAATATCGAAATATCTTCTTTTAGTGCGTCTGATTAATTTAAGACATTTATTTCTGACTATTTGTAATCCTCCCTGTTAGAGACTGTTTTGTTTTTGTTGAACTCTCTTTTTGCCTTTGATCTCAGCATTATCAATTTTCTTATATCTTTATTCATTAAAGGCGCATTATTTGCTCTCACTAATTTTTTCTTCGGAGGGGCATGTTTATCAAGAATAGAATTCATAGCTTGATTGAAAACGTCGTACGTTGCATTATCTTTAGGTATTTTAGCTAAATTAAATAGAAAATCCTCGGTAAATTGATCGGTAGAAAACGTTTTATAGCATCTGTATGAAATAGAAGTGGGTTCAGATTTTACGAATTCAGTTTTTAGTACAGTATAGGTTAGTTTATGTTGGTCAGACAAACCTGTCTCATATGTATCTGTATTTATATAGCTGTATTTCTTGTTTGTTAAGATCAAGTCAAAGCATTTTGGCGGATCACTTTTGTA